GTTATTTTAATTTGCATTTCCCTAATGATCACTCCCTTCCTTCTCTGACCTAGTGATGGAATCCAAGGCTTTGCTCACACTAAGCATGTACTCTTACCACTGAACAACTCTCCCAGCCCTGTCTTGCATTATCAGTGTCCAAAATACTGACTCACCCTTGTCATGTTTCTGAGTTTCTTTTCCCTAAGGATCTGCATTTTTCCCCTTTTCCTAGCATCTAGGGGTTCTAACATTTTTCATCCCAGTGACAGAAAAGGAATATACCCTTAGATTTCTCTTATTCATTCATCAATTTACTTAATTTATTCAAACAATGTTGCGAGTACAGCCTGCCTGTGGATGGAGGTTGGGCACCAAGATCTCACTGAGGTCCACTGGCCTCAGGGCTCACAGACTGCCAGAAATGAGTTTCAGCCTAACCGGCAGGCTTTTTCCAGAAGGAAGCTATACTGAGGCCCAATCAGAGCAGCCCTGCCTGCCCCTCCCTCTTAGGTGTTTGGGAAGACCTCAGGGAATTCTGACTCCAGACTTCTCCAGCTGCCTGAACCCATACAGGAGCTCTGTCTTAGGAATCTGCTGGCCCTGGCTTAGCTTTCCCAAGGGACAACCTTCTGCCACGCTTTGTTCTGCCCGGAGGCTGCCAATACTCATCACTCAGTCCCCGCCTGTAAGACCGTGGGTATATATTTATGTGTTGTGTTGTGATTTTTGTCATAATGCTCTTCTTATAGTCTCTGCAGTCCCACTTCCAGTACGGTGACAGGCCATATCTGAAAGCAATTGGGCCAGGAGCTTTGAACTTTCAACTAGTAGCTAGAGCTTTGTTGCTCCACATGGATAGGCTTCTTTTTATGATGCTGTTATAGAACTTGGGGGTCAAAATCTGTGTCTGAAGCCAGGTCCTTCCTGCTACCAGTTCTTAATAAGCCAACTAAGAGTGGAAAGCAGAAAGGGGGAGTTATTCAATGTAGCCACATTGAAAAGACAAAGTAGCCTACTGAAACCCCCAAGTCTGTTTTTAGGGTTCTGGAATGAGATTAAAGTTCAAGTAGAAGACCAAATACATACACATTTAAGTGTGTTCACAGTCCCCTGCCCCCTATTGAACCATCTTTGTTTGAGCTTCTCAGTTTCAATGTGTAATCTTACAAGATGTTAGAAATGTGAAATATCTTTCAGGGAGATAAATTCTCCCTCTGGCTGGGGCCTTTTCCTTTTTCCCAGCATGAGAGTCCCATTTCTTTGAGGTTCGTTGTTTTGAGAGTTTTAAAATCAGATTGAGAGACTCAACCCACCTTCAATTCAGCCAGGCTTATTAAATATCAAATCGTTGGTGTGCCAAATGATGTGGAATTTTAGGCTGAACTCAGACTTCTACTCAGTGCATACTTTCTCTTACAAGGGTTCTACTAATATTGTATAGGCATTTGTGGTGGGCAAGAACAGCTCTGATCCATGGACCCCAGTATCCTCTAGCTCCTTTATCAATAGCCCTCTACAACTCTAAGATCCCAGATTAACTGTGTGGAACACGGAGCTGCACAAGGTAACTTTATGGAAATTTCAGAGTACACACAAGATTGAGATTCAGGAGGCAAGGGGAGGTAAGGCCTTAACTGACCTGTGGAATTTTCCTTAGCTTGAGATTTCTAACATATGAAATGGGAGTCTCATAAATATTGTGGAGATTGTGAACTGACTGTAAAATGAAGCAGATAAATATTCACTTCGGGGAAACAGTGGTAGGTGAGTAAAATGTGTAATTCATTGCTTAGGGGATCCTGAAAACACATTTTAAAAATAAATCCTTTCCTCCTTTATATTTTGGTCTAGAAGTGGAAGTATGATTTTTCTCCAAAGGGTACATTTCATGAGTTTGTATTTTCAGGAAAAAAAAAAAAAAAGATACCCACTCTCCATTATAAGTGTTAGAAACAAAAAAACAATATGCTCAGCATTGCACAATGGACCACACAAACAAAGAGAAAGTGGCTCTGCAAGACAACCTCTTTTGCAAAAGGATGCACCAAGACCCAACAGTGACAAGGACCGAGTAGCAAGGACACTGGGTCCCAAGATGCCTCCTGTCTTTTATTGATGACTGTTTTATCTCATTTCTGGCAGCTCAATTTCACAATTTGAGACATTTGGCTAGTTGGTAGAAAAGGGAAGGAGAAATTTCAGTAAGTATAAGTCCTTGATGGACTAACTACCTTTGATAAAACAAAAACTAAAAAATGAAACCCCACTTCTCACATGAAGAAGTCAGTGCAGTGTCTCTATTTTCTGCACGGATTTTGTTGACTGTATGGTGGAGCTTATTTTTGTTTTCCTTGTATCTCAGTTTTTGAAATGCTATAATATGTAGGCATAGACTTGAAAAGTACCAGGATCTTTCAAGTATTGCTGTCCCATCCACAGTGGGAGCTGCAAATGGAGCTGTGTGGGAGTATCATTTTGTGGGATAGTACTGCAAATCACAGAGGTGAGGGGTACCTCAAAACCTGACTTTATTTTCATAACTTCTGTACCACCAGGTTGATACTGGAGTACTAGATAAAAGGTTATAAATTCTCTAATCACATCGACCCAAGGAATCTGGGGTAAGCCACTTCCCTTAATAGTTTACAACAATGGTAAATGTCCCAGACAAATATTTGAGAATCATTCCTGATTCTAGGGGGGAAATGGTGTCACTACTATACTCTCCTCCCTTGTAAACATGTCACACTTCTGAGTGTGATCTTATTTGGAAATATTATTGGTCCGAATGTAATTAGTTATATTTTATGAAAGTAGGATAGCCCCCTAATAGAATATGATTGCTGTCCTTATGAATATATGGCATTTGAACAGACACACATGTGGGGAGAACACCATGAAAAAAAGGCAGAAATCAGGGTGACACTTATACAAACCAATAAATGTCAAATTGTCAGCCAATTACCAGATGCTTATGGAGAGGGATGTAATGAGTACATCTTTCACTAGTAGACCTCAGAACTAACCTTAAGAATACCTCCATCAACCAAGCATGGTGGCACGTGCCTTTAATCACAGCACCCAGGGAGGCAAAGGCAGATAGATTGACCAAAGCCAGCCTGGTCTACAAACTGAGTCCAGGACAACCAAGGCTACACAGAGAAACTCTGTCTTGAAAGTCCAAACCAAACCGAAACAAAACACCCCCAAAACCTCCCTCTCAGACATCCAGCTTCCAGAAGTGGGAGATGATTAACTTATGTTCAATTAACAACTCGGGTTTTGGTCCTTTGTTACGGTAATCCCAGTAAACATTAATACAGCTACATTGCAATCCCCATGTTTTTTCACTATCAAGAACCATTGTTTGCAGACAAAACTAAGTTGCTTAACATATATTGTCTGCTACATACAATTGGGTGCACACATTTCTTTTTGCATTCATATTTTAAAGATTTGTCTTATCAAGTATACTATAGCATATTTTAGATTGTAGTTAACATCTTTCCATTTGCTTGTTAGATGAACAGGATTACCTTATCAGTGTGACATAATTTATGCCTCAAGTCAAATAATGTGATGTTTAGTTGTTTAAGATCATTAGGTTTTTAGAAATACCAAAACTTGTTCTCAAAACACTCATTATTATGTTTATGGATCCCCAGGTGTCAATTTCAAAAGGGGATAAGGAGTTCTGGGAGTGGTTGCTCAGTGGGAGAGCACAAAGTTCCTAGTTTCGAACTACATCACCCATCCCTCAAAACACACACACACACACACACACACACACACACACACACACACACTCACAGAAACTCCAAATCCACACAGGAAATATTTTAGGATTTATGGAACATACCACTTATGTCACATCTACCCAAAATTGCACTTGTAGAGATAATTCAAATGAATGTGCATTACTTAGTTCCAAAAAGTCTATTTATGAACACTGAAACTCGAATGATTTTCCTAAGTTTTTTTCTGAGATTTTTTTTTTTTTTTTACATTTTCCTACCACTCAAAATAAAGAACTGGCTACAGCCTCTATATTCTTGACTGGTTGCCTGCCCAGTGTGTTACTCTGGACACCCAGTTCTCAACTTCCTGAGTTAATACATTACGTTCACCTTAAGATGAGGCGTAGAGAGATGTTATTAACTTTAAACTGAAACTCAGGCTTCATATTGCTCAATCCAGGGCCCACCGCTGGTGTACTTGTGTTTTCAGATGTGCTTAGTATGCCGTGGTGCAAAAAATAGGTATGTGTTCAGCAGCCCTTTTCAAGCTTGACCATTTAAGGACTGCCCTTGTAGGAGCAGCCAGTGGCAACCTAAATTTGTTAAGCCTGTCCTAGAGCGAACACACCCTTTTCTGTTGATACCTCTCGGGTTGCCTGGGAGCTTAGACCCATCTGTACTTACTATTTTTGAGTCCCTGTTGTCTCATTGGCAGCTTTCTGAACAGCTGCAAAACATACTTTTTACTAAGTGGAAGTTTGGGCCATCTGCTACCGGCGTGGAACAGTCTTTCAGCAAGCGCTCTTTCAGCGGACAGTTCTCTAGTTTTAATGTTCTCTAGTTTTACTGACTCGGGTGAGTGTCAAAAGTAACTCATCTCAACTTCCTGCTGGACTGCCTAGGCGGGTAGGAATGAATGAGGTCTTTGCTCACGGGCTTGTAGAATAATGTGCACTGCTTTTTGTGTTAACCGTAACTGCTCCGTTGCCTAGCACCACAGCCTACAGCTGGGTCGTCCTTTCCGCGGCCACTCTACCTCGGCTCACAAGGCTCCCGTGACATCGCAAGCGGCACCCAGGGGCGAACAAGTATTATGCTGCGCGGAAAGTCCCGGCTCAACATAGAGTGGCTAGGCTACTCGCCCCGCCTGCTCCCTGAGAAAGATCCACTAGCAGCAGCAAGGCCACTACAAAGCCACCGCGGGTAAGTCATGTGAGCGCTCGCTACTTACCCGAGCCTGCGCGCTTGGCAGTTGCGTCACTACGCTGCGCCTCATCAGCGTCCATCGACCCAGGCACTTCCGGCGCGACCGGCTGAGTATTGTCACCCTCCCAGCGGCCGCTGAACCTTGCTAACTACCAAGCGCCTGCTGCTTCTCCCGCGGCCACGCCATGGAGCGTCTTGATAAAGTGGCGCTGAATGCGCTGCATCCTCCAGAGTTCAGGTATCCCTGAGTTCGCCTAGATAACCATGGCGGATCCGCTCTGGCCTGGCGCGCGCCGCTGGGAAGGCAGGAGACAGACAGGGAGGGCTTGGGGGTCGGGCCCTTCCGCTGTTCACTGCAGGCTGATGAAGAGGGAAAGTAGTTTGGAGCTTGCAGCTTCTGAATAGCTGTCCCCTCCTTTCAGTGTATAACTGAGCAGGCCGGCCCTCAGTTCATATTTCCTTGCACTTCCTCTTCCAGTTGTTTGGCGAGTTTGCTGGTTTGCAGTTTCCCTTTGCCAGGTGTGCTCTCTTGAGGATAGGCCCCAGCCTCCTTTGTCTCGAAACTTGCCAGGGCCTACATCACAAGTTTTTATAAATATCTGATGTGAGGCCGATTCTCTTCGGGCGGGGATGGAGTTGAGGGTTGAGATATCAGTCAGTAGGTGGGGACTAGTGACAGAACAGAAGGAATGTACCACAGTGCCCAGCTACCAACAGATAGTCTTACTAAATACACAAAGAATGCAGTTACTAGTCTTTTTTAATGGAATTTTCAACGAAATCTTAAGAGTAGAAGAAAAAATTCTGCTGTAAGTCTTGCCTGCCACAAAGGGGAATATGGTAATCTCTATCTGTTCCGTGTTTGCTCTAGAGAATTGTGTGAAGTAGGAAAAATAAGAAGAATTAAGAGTAGTAGCATGGTAAGATTCATTGAGAACATTCTTCTTTTTGCATAGCTAACATTCTGGCTTTTCCATTCCTCATTTCTGACAGGCCTCAGCCACCCCTAGTCAGAGGTAAAATAAATCTATCAAATGGTATCCATTGCTTTGTTTTATAATATATCACTGATACTACCTGACCTGGTTTGTGTCAGCAGAACCCACAGGTATAGTGGTCTGTGGCTAGAAGCTAAGGAGATAAGTGGAATAAACACAAGGGAAAATTTGATTAGCTTTTTTGCTTTTTTAAACGTTTGACTTAACTTTGACTATCCTGTCATATATTTTGCATGTTTTGGTCAATGACAGACAGCAAGTGTGTTCCATGGGATTGTATTATCTGTGCTGTTTAAGTCATCTTAGTTTGTATGAGTATGCTCTGTGATGTTTGTGGAATGACAGAATCAGCAACACATTTCCCAAAATATTTCCCTGTTTTAAAATGGTGGAGGACTAACTACTTAATCTTAAATTACTGAGGTTGTAACAGAAAAGAGTCATTTTTGAAGTTTAAGGTAGAGAATTGTATGAATATATTGAAAATAATAGGCCATAAATTGTTAATATATGTCTATACAGGCTGTGGGGAATGGATGTTAATAAATAGCATGTTGGAGCCATGATTTTTTTCACTCTAATTTTTTTATAGTATTGTGTCATCTTTTCAATAATAACTGTTTATAAAATCATTTTAAAATTTTATTATTTTAAATTGCGTGCATGTGGGCATCTACACTTAAATCCAAGTGCCCAAGGAGGTCTGAGGTATTGCATCCTCTGGATCTGAAGTTTAGGCAATTGTGAGCTGCCTGACATGGGTGCTAGGAATGAAAGTTGGGTTCTCTGGAAGAGCAGTACAACTGAGCCATCTGTCTAGCCCCATGCTTATAAAAATTATGCCAGATAGTAGATATTTAAAAGATAATCTAAAGAACACACCAGATGTAGTTGCATAGGTCTCTTAATAAGAGCTGTTGGGAATGCTGGGGCAGAAGGATCACAAGTTCAAGGCCAGTTTGGGCTACAGAGTGAGTTCCAGGCTAACATGGGTAACTTAGTGAGCTGCAGTCTCAAAAGATAAGTAAAAAGAGCTAGAGAGGTAGCTGAGTACTAGCCTTTGCCTAGCGTATATATGAGGCCCTAAGTTCAATCCCTGATATTGAAAACTAAATAACTAGAACTAATAAATAACAATAACCAATCAATGCTTGTTCCTTATCAAGTTAGATAAATAACTTGAATATTGCATACTTACAGTATGAATTTACCACTAAGAAAATCTAAAGTTCAGTGCTTTTCTAAGACCCCCAAAAGAAGTGGTTGAATAGGGAGTATTTTCATATATTTGGTTATCCATTACTGTATATTCTTTATGACAATTACATAATAAATTTCTGAAATCAAGCACCAAGGAACAGCTTAAAGGATATCTATGTATGTATCTCTCTGTCTCTCACTGTCCCCCCGCCCACCTTGCACATATTATGAGAATTGTGTAGTTCAGTAATGACAGAGTATAGTAGTAGTACATTTACATACCAAAATAATCTTCAGATGTTTTGTTCCATGACAGTAAGCATAAGAGTAAGATTTAATTTTTCCCACATGTTCAAGGACTGTAATCAACCTAGAGCTTACTAATACAATACAGTTCTATGTGGTATAATTTTCATGTTGGGCATTATCTGTTTAGAATTAATAACCTTGTGATTGCTATTTGTTGGACTTGGACCAGTAATTCATATTTTCTCCCTCATGCATGGTTGCCAGTGTTTTATTTCTTCTATAGATTTGGTCAATTTTTTAATTGAAGACTTCACATATATACAGAATTGTAGAATATGTCTACTTGTATTATCTACGCCTATACATACCCACTTAAACATACACACGGAAAATAAAAGTCTTGATTTTTGTGAAAATGCATTTCTCTGCAATTTCAGAATAGTGTCAAACCACACAAACGGATCATTAATGTTAATTATGGGTTTTAGATTGAGTCTTTGGAAAGATGTGTTCTACACTCTTCCCATCATCATCTGTATGTTCAGCTTCAGTGCTGTGATCAGACTGCCCATTTTAGGCTTTTATCTGGAGTTCCCTGGCATAGGCATTAATATGTTTATCTTTTCAGTTTACTCCCACACAGGTTTATGTTCTATGAGGCCCCGACTAGGTCTTGGATTAGTTTGATTCTAGAATATATCTGTCTTTTCTGGTTTATTTCTGGTCCAGTCCTTTGGTTAGAGCAGAAGTGTATATAATCCTTGGGGAGGACACGTTTGCTCGCAAATAAGTTTGGAGTTTTCTGATGTATTTTCAGGCCCATAAACCTGTGCATGTGCACCAAGCTCAGGATCTGGCTCAGGTATGCACATGCACGTGCTTGCTCCTTTACTATGTTTAGAAAAGTGGATGCTATTTGCTTCAGAATTCTGTTATCTTCAGGAAGATAATTATTATATTTGGATATGGCTTGTAAACATTTTGTTTTTTTTTTTTTCACTTTCTTCCAGAAATGAAAACTCTTTAGCTTCAACCCTGAAGACACTCCTCTTCTTCACAGCTTTAATGATCACACTTCCTATTGGGTTGTATTTTACAACGAAATCCTATATTTTCGAAGGTAATCTTTATATTCTTTTTTTAAAATTTTTTATTAATTACACTTTATTCATTTTGTATCCCCCCATAAGCCCCTCCCTCCTCCCCTCCCCATCCCACCCTTCCTCCCCTTTCTGCATGAATGCCACTCCCCAAGTCCACTGATAGGGGAGGTTCTCCTCTCCTTTCTGGTCTTAGTCTATCAGTTCTCATCAAAAGTGGCTGCATTGTCATCTTCTGTGGCCTGGTAAGGTTGCTCCCCCCTCAGGGGGAGGTGATCAACGAGCAGGCCAATCAGATTATGTCAGAGGCAGTCCCTCTTCCCATTACTATGTAACCCACTTGGACACTGAACTGCCATGGGCTACATCTGTGCAGGGGTTCTAGGTTATCTCCACGAATAGTCCTTGGTTGGAGTATGAGTCTCTGGGAAGTTCCCTGTGTTCAAATTTTCTTGTTCTGTTGCTCTCCTTGTGGAGACCCTGTCCTCTCCAGCTAATCTTTACATTCTTAAAGATATTTTTCTTTTCTAATTTGTTGTGAGCTTTTATGTATTTTTTTTATTGTTAAACTTGTTTTCTTCTTCCTTTTGCTTAACTAGTTAAATATATAGTCAAAGAGAATTCATATGCCTTGGTTGGCTGGGTGTGATACTCTATGAATATTACTTGTGGGGAAGACACAGGATTAGGACCTGAACTCATAAAATAGTTGGAGGACAAGCTGGGTTACATGAGACCCTGTCTCAAAAACAAAACAAAAATTGAAGGGGGGAGTAACTTATTATATACAGTGTATTACTTTAAATGTTTTACACAAATTCGCCTACAGAATCCTCATAACAAACTTCTGAATTAATTTGTAGTAGCCTCATTTTAGAAATGTGGCACAAAAATGTTAAATAAGTGCAGTCTGTGCTACAAGTAACTGGTGACAATGGGAGATGAAAACAGGGTATTTCCAATGTCTTTGTCACGGGCTCTGTTCTTTCTTCCCCTGTGGACACTCATGGAACTGTGACATGTCTTTCCTGCATTATCATAGGGGAAGAAATATAAACTAGAGTAACATAATTTGGTAACTGGGTGCCAATTCTTTTTGTAGTGCTCATTCATTTTCTCTAATTGTACTTCAATATCTACCATTGTGTATAAAGTCAGAGATTTGTCCTACAAATATGTATAAGTTCCTTCTTGTCCTAAACACTCCTAAAATAATAAAAATCATTGACATTAAAAATGAAGCAAACACCATTGATATTTGCTGATTTCTGTAGAGCAGACTGTATTAGTACTTTTTCATGTTGAACTATTTTTAACTTATAAATAATTCTTTTTATAAATTCCTGTCATTGTTTTTTTATATGGAATCTTACTTATTTATTTTGGTTTCTTCTTTTGAGACAGGATTCTCTGTGTAGCTCTGGCTGTCTGGAGCTTGCTTTGTAGACCAGGCAGACCTCTAACTCAGAGATCAACCTGAGTTTACCTCCTAAGTGCTGGTATTAAAGGCGTGCACCACCATACCAGGCTTAGACTCTTCTTTTTATTTGTATGTATTATTCATACAAAATGATAGGGTTAGTTATGACAACAAATGGTAAAATGAACTGGGCATGGCAGTAGACACCAGTGATACTGGTACTTAAGAAACAGAGACATGGGGATTTTCAGTTCCCAGACACACTGGCCAACAAGACTGAGATCTTGTAAATAATGAGGAACAAGAAAAAGGAGGAGGGGGGAACCATATGTACCTCTTTACTCATTATAACAAGCCATTCTGTCTCTCATGTGTGATTATTTACATATGTTTTATATCTTCTTTTTAAGATTTTATAATTTTTATACTTCTTTTTGTTTTATAACTTTATTACTTCTTTTACTTTTTGTGATTATAAAATAAGTTTTTATCATTTCTTCTTTCACCTTTCTCCTTCCACTATCTCCCATATGCCTTTCCTTGCTCTCATTCAAATTCATGGCCTGTTTTTTTTTTTTTTCATTAGTTATTGTTTGTGTTTGCATGTGTGTTCCTAAATATGTAAGTACAACATGCTCTATCTGTATAATGTTACTTATATGTATATGTTTTCAGGGCTGGTCATTTAGTATAGGATAACCAGTTGATGTGCTCTCTCCTTTGGGAAAGACTGTTTTTCTACTCTGAGCATTTCTTAGCTGCTTGAAGTTTTTGTGTAAGGTTGAGGCCTCCTTGGCCTTTTCCTATTCATTTTGTCATGTCTGTTTTTATCGTCCTTATTCAGCACATGTGTGGACAGCCATGTCAGTGAGACTTTACACATACAGCCTCTGACATTATTAGGAGGTGTAATCTCACAACAGAGTCTCTGATCTTCTCCCTCTTAGAATATTTCTTCCCTCTCTTACGCAATGTTGCCTGAGTCTTAGGTGCAGTGTATTTTGTAGATGTATCCCTTAGGACTAGGCTCCACAAGCATTTTGATTGGCTGTTGTTTTCTGTAGTGGTTTTCAACATAAACAGAATTCTTAGGCTTTGAATTTTATAATTTGTTAAGTGTGGAATAAAATGATTTTTTTTTCTTTTCTTGATTAGGTGCCTTTGGAATGTCCAATAGAGACAGCTACTTTTATGCTGCAATTGTTGCTGTTGTTGCTGTTCATGTGGTTCTGGCCCTGTTTGTCTATGTGGCCTGGAATGAAGGGTCACGACAGTGGCGTGAAGGCAAACAGGATTAAAGTGAACATCACCTTTTGATAGCATGAAACTTATTTTTGAATATGTTAAATACTTCTGGGATATTGATAATAAATACATTTTGTTTGAATAAAGTTGAAATAACATATTAAAATCAGTCTTAAGGAGTCAGTCTCATTTGGCTAACTTTTGACCCATCAAATAATATGGTCACTTTGCACTTTTAATCTCCATTTGCAAATGAAAATTTGTAAAAGTTAAATACGTACAAATGTATATGTTAAATGAGTTATATGTTAAATGAAGAATTTAATTATCTTACAACAAAAAAATTATAGCAATTTGGCTTATGCTTGCTTTTTAGTTGTATTTATTTGGGTTTACTAAGAAACAGTGAAGCTATTCTAAATTTCCTTTTTTACTAGAGGACTTTTCTGGAAAATAGTAGGCCCTTGGATTTGAGATTCTAAAAAGTTACTTAAATTGTAGGCATTTTAGTTAATCTGAATGTCACTGAGGAAAGATAACTCTTACATTCCATTATTTAATGGGGAAAGGCACTAAAATCACACCTATTTATACAAACGGATTTAGGACTACCTATGGCAAAGAATTAAGCTGACTGCCAGCATTGTGATTATCATAGTAACGTGCCCTCCTTTTGCCTTGAAATTAGGCTTCATTTATGAAGTTTATTGAAATATTGTTTAATGTATTGTCCTGCTTTAAAATGAATAGTGTGTGATAAACATTAGAATGCCAAAATATTTAAAAAAAATCCAAAATATTCAGCATTCACACACTCAGAGTGTATTCAGTCTTGAAACATCACATTTCTAAATAAGATTTTCTTGGAGTTTTTTTGTCTGTTAATCCGTTTTTTGTTTGTTTGTTTTAATGAGAGCTAAATTACATCCTGTATTTATAGATAATCCTCGAAGTCTTTTTTAATGAGAACACCCCTGCCCCAGAAGAAAAAGCCCTGTTACCTCGCTTCAGTACCTTCAGACAGACCATGTGGTACTATGTATGTATAATCTAAAACTACTGTCTCCAAATATTTATTTCTTGTTAAAAGACTGTAATATATATTCTGTAAAACACTGGAAAAATACATGTAAAAAAGTAAAAATTGGCCCATAATGTTCCTCTCTTCAGGTTATCAGTAATTTAGTTCACAACCCCTGTCCCATTTTGAAAGATACTTCTTAATGGTGATTGCACATACACTACAACCTTGGTTTAAGATTAGATCTTGCCAATTTCACCAAAGATCTGTTTGCAGTTTTTCAGATGTGTGATAATTGCCTATTGTCTTACAAAGCACATACTATCTTTATTCTAAAATTTACATTTCAGTGTTTTTACCATAAAGAAATAAAAATTTGAGATGATAACCCAATTTGAATACTATATAATGTGCATATATCAGAACATTACATGGCACCCCGTAAGTATGTATGCTTTTGTTTTTGTATATCACTTAAATTTAATTATGAAAATGAAGAAAGTTCAAATACCTGTTACTGATTATAGTAATGTAATGAAAGGCCCCTGATTAGATGTTAGTCATGATTGATTTGTTTATATGCTGTTCTTTTCATGCTGTGGAACTAGACTAAAGAAATAGGTTCATTAGATGTCAAAATATGTGTTTGTGTTATATTATTGTTTTAAAACAAGGTTAATATTATTAAAGGACTGTTCATAATTCTTAAATTTAGCTGTATGTATAGTTTGTATTTAAAACTGAGTGTTCTAAATTTAAGGGTCTTTATTTAGTAAAGACTGCAGTTTTTTGTATGATATTTGAGTCTCAGACATTGTGTGCTGGATTTCTAGATGGTTCCCTTATTAGGTGGCCTATTGTATTTAGAATTGTCCACTCAGTTTCTTTTTATATAATGCAGAGGCTTTTTTCTTGTATTTTAGGAATAATGTGTATTTGTAAAATTTACTGTTGGGTTATTTTGTTTTATTTCAGACATTTGCTAACTAATGGTACAGGTCTTTGTATATAGTTTAACCAGGGATACATGAAAACACATGTAATTTTCCCTTGGGAATAAAGTACAATGTGTTTGAACATTAAAATAAAATATTCACATTGATATTTAGAGTTATTACAAAATAGATTTGTTTTGAAGTAGTTATTTTTTTCTAGGATTTCAACTGCTCAGTTACGAGTTTGATGCCATTAGGTATGTTAATGAATGTGGTATTTCACAAATAGATTTTTTTCAAGGTTTTTAACTAGTTTCCTCTTGCACAAAGTACATATATTTTGTGTTAGAAGAAAAGCTACAGTTGAACCATTAAGTGTTTTCTGGCAGGAATATGTTCATTGATGTTCAAAATCTGATTGTAATGGTAATCTCAATTAGTGAACATAACTTGAACTGTCAGTGCAAGCCACTTATTTAACCCCTTTAACTGTAACAGTACCTTCTTCACCTTCTGATTTGACCCCTGAATAATCTTTTCTCCCAGTGCTGAAAAACAGAAATCTGCTGTAGGATGCATCTGTGGATGCCACTTCACATATTAGAGGTAGCAATGATAGTAAAGAATTTTAAACCTGTTATTCAAAATAACTGGGTGTTTCATGGGAATCTAACAGTAATTATAGTAACTTGAAAGTTTACATCAGAAAAGTCATACTGAGCCAACTGCAGTAGCATTACTCAGGAAGCATATGCAGGAGGATCAGGAGTTCATGGCCATCCTGGGGATTCATGAGACCATCTCAAAGCAAAAATAACAGCTCTACAAAAACAAAAAGACAAAACCCAACCAATTTGGCACTTATCAAAAGAAGCAACCAATGGGCTTGTGTTTATTTTCATATAAATCTTAATGTAGACAAGACATTCAGATGGGTCAGTAAAAGTATTTAGACAAGTAAGATAAGTAAGATGTACCCAAGGAAGGTTAAAGCTGAAGGTGCATGAAAGAAAGGATTGACATCCTGGTTTATATGCATTCACTTTATCTCTAGACAGTTTTATACTTAGTATCTAAGCATAGTAAATTTGTAGACTTCTTAGGACAATTTGATAAATAATTCAGTGATGATACAGTATTTGTCACTTGTCTTAGGCCAATGGCAGGTTTCTTTACTGTCAAGTGGTGTATGTCATTCACTGGCAAAATACACAACTATCTCACTCCTAGGTTTTAAATTTTCACCAGAGTTGTGCTGGAGTATACTCGAATGGCATGAGAAAACTTTTTTCAGGGAGATGGAGTTACCTTAAAAATACATTACTTTAAGAGACATTGAGAACCTACCCATCAATGCATAACCTGTGAATAATTTAACCTTTTAAGGATACAAAAGTCCAGAATCTCCATATCGCTGCCGGCCACACTTACACCTGTGTTCATTGCTTTGTGTGCTTGAAGTATCTGTTCTTTTTAAGATGTTCTGTAAGTCATATTGTCAGTTATACAATCTAGTCTTCCTTCCATGTTTGGTGAAATCTCACTGAACAGGAATAATAGCAATAGCTAACAACATCTGCACAGCACCTTACAGTTTGCAAAGAAATTCACATGTTCTTGTCCAAGTTTTGCATAGTGAACATGTTACAGAGATGTCCCTTGATGTCAATGCTAAGTGTTAGAATTTTCAGTCACCAGTGTCACTGGCCATGCTGCGGCACTGAGGTGGGGTGGGTTTTGGGGTGCCAATGTGCTGTCTGTAAAGCTTGTGTCATCACAGTGGGGCCTGGATATCTTAGCCACTTGCATCAGACTGACTTGTTAAGTGATGTTTTTCTAGTCTTTACCTGAATGGGTTTTGTATTCAGCATATTATATCCTGTAATTTATATTAATTTACTATCTTGTCATTAAAGTATCTGTAATGCTACTGTGCTGTGTCCTCATTTAGTGGATACTGTTTTATTAAGCTGTTTTTTTAAAACCTGTTTGTGTGCTTCCTTCTATTTATATAGAATATGTGCAGATCTCAGTATTTAAATGTATGTTTGCTTCTGTGTGTGCTATATAGCGTAAGTATAGAGCTATCAAGGATAAGATTTACTACATCACATACAGATAGAATGGAGATATTTGGGTTGTGGGGGGTACTGAGGTAGAAGTACCAGTTATATTCTAACTAGGGTGGACCAGTTAGAACTGATATGGGGATAAGCTAAAGAAAGTTGCTTGCCTCAGGCAATTTTGATGGTACACATCTATAATCTCAGCAACTGGGAGGTGAAGGAAGATCAGATGCTCAAGCTCATTCTGAGCTGCATAGGAAGTATGGGGCCAAACTCTCCTAAATGAGTTTCTGTTTCAAAACACAAATCATCTTGTAGGTTTGGAGGAGTAAATGGCTTTCAAATACCACCAAAGTAATAAGGTTGAAAATACTTGAGACTAATTAAAGGTGAGAAGAGAATTCCTGGAGACCTACAGCATGTACAGCATCACACACACACATACATACAAATACACACACAAATACAAACACCCATGACTAGCTTTCTGTATCTTGTTTGTTGCACTGGTTCCAGCTCCTTTTGGTGCGCCTGAGGACTCCAACTAATCCGTAGTAATAAATACTACCCCATTATAGCTATCATTTGAAATGTTTTTAAAGTGCAGATAATGAGATGTCCAGGGAGCTCAGGACACAGGTTAATACAAAGAGTGCTTCTTCTATGGTGACTGAAACCAGACTGGAATGTAATTAAAAACTACCCATTGTCCAAATGTAACCTAGACCTTCAACTCAAAACTTCTGAGGGTGCCACTTGGAAATCATGGACAAGTTAGTGGGCCTGCATGTGCCTTCTAATGGACCTGATAGGAGAAATTTGCCGTTTTGTCTCTAAATGGGCATTTTTAAATGTGGGACTTGAAGATGCTTATTTAAAACATGACTATGCTTCACAGTATTTGCGTTGAATAAAATTTTCAGCAGTAAGCCCTCACTGTATTGGACACATTTTCATGATAAAATGCACTTTGGAGCATGGAGCAAATGTTAACGTGGTTACAGAACAAATTCTATGGTGGGACCATGCCTTAGTGGACCTCAGATCTGTGTGAGTACTCTGACTTAAGAAATAGAAAGTTCCCAGCACAATCTCCCTGTAACAAATTGTTAAGTTATGACTTAGGAAGAGAACCAATGGTTGGAGCGAGGTTATTAAGTTCTTTCTTTTATCTGTATGTGTGGGATTGTGTTCCTGGGACTCCACACCTAGCTCTGAAGCCCTATAGCATTCCCATTTTCCATCCCCTTACACTTTCTATCGCCACCATATCTATGCATCTTTGCACATCTCAAGTCCCTTATGTAAAATGGCAGAGTATTTGTATAGAATGTACACACACCTGTAGAATGTTCATAATACCTAATGCAATGCAAATTATATGTAAAAAGCTGTCATATAGTATTGTTTCTATAGTGTATGGGACATCATACCAAAAATTCTATCTATTATTACAGTTACAATTTTCCAATAATTACTATCAGTGGCTGATTACTTAAATATATAAACTATATATATTGAGTACCAGCTATATTTCTGTAGCTTCTAGTTAGAGACACAGTCCTCTTCGTCCACTCCTCTTCTAGTCCCTTTGAACCAAGAAAAATTAAAAATTGAGTAAATTAGTAAATAGGGAAAAATACTGAGCCTCCCAACAATTAAATCACTACTTTCAAATGAGTTGTTCAAGTGGTTTGAGGAACTGTTCCCTATAGTTGACAGGAGAACCTAATATGGCCCAAGATTCCCTCTCTCTCTTCTCCATCCCATATTTGTGCTCCCTGAGGATGCTGTAACAAAGCACTACCCAGTGGGCTAGACGACTATAAACCGGGCTTGGTGGCACACTCCTATGATCCCAGTGCTCAGGAGGTGGAGTAAGGAAGATCAGAAGTTGAAGGTCATCCTAGGTTACATGGCAAGTTTAAGGACAGCCTAAGATACATGAGACCTTGTCAGAGAGAGAGACAGACAGACAGACAGAGATAGAGACAGGGACCCAGAGAGTGACAGAGTCAGAATGAGTGAGTGGGCATGAGAGAGAGAGAGAACAAATATATTTTCTCACAATGCTAGAGGACAGAATTATGAGATTAAGGTGTGGGTAGGGCTGATTTCCCTGGAGCCTCTCCCCTTAGCTTGCAGATGTTTGTTTCGTTTTTGTTGTTTTGTCCTCAAATGACCATTTCTGAGTGTAAGTTTGTACTTATTTTATCTTATAAGGATCCCTGTCACACTGCACTAGAGTCCTCCCTAAAAATCTGAGATAAATATAAGAAGAGACTCCACTTGACAGTCATTCATAGCCAACAGATAAAGACAGCTTCAAGCCAGGGAATATGGGTAGGTTGTAAAAGGTAGCATTCCATCAGCTCGGTTTTCTGCACAAGTC